TCGGGCTCATCTAGCCTTTCACCTCTCTGAGTTCGGAGAAATGATGCCAGACATATCTGGGAACATAACTTCAATGATGCTGAAATATTTGCAAAACTCCGGACAGCAGGTGTATGCGGTGGGGAACGAACGCGCCCTATTGTCCTTTCCGGGGAGTAGCGCACTTCACCACCACGCCATCCGGATCCTTCGTTTTGCCTGTCTCTCAGCTAGTTCTATCGATCTTTTGTAAATATCTCAGCATTATATACGAGTTATATTTCGCAACATACTCTGCCATTAAAAAGAAAAAGGCAGTAAGTAAAATGGTTAAGATTGCGATTATCTGGGAACAGTTCACTGCCTGCCATCCAAGTGGGCACGCTCTAGCCCACCTATGCCAGGACTCCAGAAACAATACACTCGACCGCAATTCGACAACACCTATAGAGACGACGAAATCTTCAAACAACAGTTAGACCCAGATGGGAAAAGTTGGAAGACCTTCGTGAAAGATGGTTACAATGAAGTGAATCGAAAAGTGGTGGGATCCGTAGAGTAGATGTTAAGATGGGTCGTGTAATATTTGAAAACTTGTTTCACAATGGACCAATTCCTAAGATAAAGTGCCTTTACAATTATAATAACGCAATCCGTGGCAACCTCTCACCTGTATCATTCGTAATATCGTCAACTATTAAGTAATTTGAGCTGATGCCACGCGATTCTACTCGTCCCATCGCCTAGGAGGGTTGATCTGTAGGCCCCGCTCATTCAATGAACGCCAAGAACGTTAACACTGACGATTTCTTCAACGTCGTTGGCCAGAAAGTATAAATGAATTTAGTTTGCTGATTATTCTGTGACATAGTTTATCTTTAGTTGGGCTTCCTCATACGAATGTTTAATCTGGCTGAGCGTGCATATTCCCTGTGCATCGAAGTTTGAAATGTTTCATTACCTCCCAACTACGATGGTCTCATCGTAAACCATTGAGAAAGACAGCTAAGTTTGAAGGATATAATGCAATTCTTTTGCTTGAGGTGTAATAGGGAGCGACTTTTGTGGTAAAGCCTAGTTCGAACAAGCACATCGTTAGTCAAAATACGATTTCAGTCTGATTTCGTGTTAACATTACATGAGACAAACTTCACTGAAAATATGTCGTGCAGAATATCACGCTCTTAATGAGTAGGCCACCAACAGAGAAGACTTCCGAGACGGATTTCCAACTTAATCATTTGCTACTGTTTTCTTGATAAGCAATAAAGAACGAAGTAACAACCTTGTGTTTGCTCATTAAGAAAACAATGAATTATTTAATCAATTTCGAGGCAAATAGGAAGACGGTCTTGGGAATTAGTCATACGTTTTCAATTCGCCCATTCCGAAACGCCGCCATCACATCCCACTGCAAACGCCGCCATTCTACCCTTCAACGATATCCTTGTAACCACTCGTTTCCTATCTGTTCATCTCGCGTACTCCAGCGGAGGAGATGGTTGACACGCACCTCTCGTTAAAGTCAAAATTAATCCATCTAGCTAATTCGCACATTCGCAACTGGGTTTCCGATAACTAGAACACTTAAGCTATTGAGAATTAGCCGAGTTACGTGAGAAACCTTACTCTAGCGCCCAGATTTCAAGGCTTTTACCTAAGATAAGTAAAATATCGATTTTATTGATTTATAGAGTCAAGTTCTTCTCAAACGAATCGGTAAAAATGTATAACGTTTCATTTGTTGCTTATTACTTTTGCATGTCAAGTACCATGTGAAATACACCCGCAATGATGCTGATACAGTACTTAGGACCGACTTTCCATTAACCTCGGCATTGGATTATGAATTCGTCGTTTTCTCTTTCAACAATCGCGGGGTTGTTAAACACCATACGTTTACTTCCATACAATAACACACATACAGCACAATCGTAGCTGACGTTTCGGCAGAATCGCCCTCTTCAGAGCCTGGAAGGGTACACTAATACGCAACTTTTTAGGTGAAACGCTTCAATAACACAAACAGAAAGATGAAAATCTGAACGATAATTACGACTTCTCGAAAATCCCACCGCTTTTTTCATCTGTCTTTCACCGAGGAAGAACAGCCGCTCAGAGTCGCACGTGGTTGACGACTACACAACCCCATATCATGGATACGAAGGTACGGGGCGAGACCACGTGTGATCTCTGGGCATTCCTTCCTGCTATTCATTGTGGGATTTTTGGCATTTATCCAAAAAGCCTCAAGAAACTTGCGCGTTGGTGTTTTGGCATCCCGTGCGAAAATAGTGACTTTTATATCAAAATCGTCTCCACTATGCTTTTGCATCCTATGCGTCTCTAGTGGGGTATTTTGTCTTGCTTTTCGTTTGCCATCTAGGTGTTCTCTTGTGCAGATACATAAAGATTTGCCTGTTTCGCCAATGTATTCGTCTCCGCAAGTACCACAAGAGATCAGGTATCGTACCTGAACTCGCGCAGTCACCGTCCCTGCCATGAGGGCAGATTACGCAGTTCTGTGTTCCACATAGACGGTCGTATAGGGGGTTACGAACTAATTGACGACGAAGAGTATTCGGTGGTATTTCAATTATCGCCACCGATTGCTCTAGACCTGCCCTTCTTAAGCATCGCTTCATCGTTGCACTTATTTCATCACTAATGAAGGGTGATAAACGGGACTATGTTTCGGCCAAACCGCATGTTTTGGAGCGTCGCTCTCCTTCGAAACTTATCCCGTGCGGTTACCAATTCGTAGCCATTGGAGATAGCTACTTGTCGAGCGAACTCACGCAATTCTTCCTTTGGTTCCCTACTTGTGCACAAAGAGGTGACTGTTCGAAACATGTTCCCTTTTGTATGTGAATGGTGGAAAGAAAGGGAATGAACCAGGATGGTTTTTTTCACTTGGTTTTCGGTACCACTCTGTCATATAACCGTTACTTGATAAGTTAATTTGAACGTTTAGAAACGGGAGCCAGTCGTTTTTCGATTTTTCCCGGGTGAACTTGATGCACTCTGACTACTCGTTCAATAATTCAGAGCATTTGTCCATCTCTTCTTGCGTAGAGAAGACAACAAAACAATCATCTATACATCTGCAGTAGTGTAGCGGCCGGAGACCGAGAACGGGGGTTTCCACTCTAGGCATAAACGCAATGGCAAGGCTTGGTGCCAGTCGCTGTCCTATTCATCCCCCTTATTTGAGCATAGTATTTCCCAGACCATCTGAAAATCGAGCAGTTTAGGCACTCCTTTGAGAGAGCCATAAGCTGATGGATGGAGAAGCCATGCATATTTATTGTTCCTTAATGTTCAACAAGAAGTTCGTGGATGGCTTGCATAGCGGAGTCATTCGATACGTTGGTGTAGAGCGCGGTAACGTCGAAAGACTCCATCACGTACGCATTATTAGGAGACGCGTTACGTAGACGTTCTAGGAACATTTGGGTGTTTGTGAGGTGAGCTGGAATGTGGTTAAGCAACTGGGTAAGTATTAGGCTTAAAAACCAGGTTATTCTATCCGTTGGTCCATCTACACAGCTGATGATCGGTCTAACCTTGAACGATGATGGATTGGTTGACGCAAGATCATCAGATGATAGCAAATTATGTCTTTTAATAAGTAGGTATAAGGCGGGACATGTTGGTTTATTGATTTTAAGGTGCGAAATAACCGGTGATTTTAAACCTGCGGCATTTACCACGCTGGCCCATTGATTGTTTAGCTTTCGGTATTGATGCTTGTATTCCTTTTCAGAGGATGGGTGATAGAGGGTAGCATCACTAAGATGTTCCTCTGTTATCTCAACATTCAACTGGCGGGGAATAACCACGAACTCACCCGTCTTATCATTAACAGACAATCTTATCGTTTTCGAGTTTATTAATTCTCTAATTTCTCGCAGGCCACATTTTTGTGTGGATGTGAGGCTAGAGATAAACCTTCTATCGTGGTGGTGATTAAGGCTCTTAAGAACGCCGTCCGAAAACATGCGGAATTTTATGTCAATTCAAGACAAGTTAAGAAGGCGTTGGGTTTTCTCGAGAAGCTGTAGATCTTGTAATTATCGTGCAGATTTTCATCTCTCTGTGTGTGCTACTGAAGCGTTTGACCTAGTAAGCTGCGTATTAGTGTACCTTCTAGGCTCTTAAGAAGGCGATACTGCCGAGACGTCAGCTACGGTTGTGTTGCATGCGTGTTATTGTATGGAAGTAAACGTATGCTGCTTAATAACCTTGCGATTGCTGAGAGCGAAAACGATGCTGATACATTTATTAAACTCAGACCACAGGCCAAATTCGCAAAATAATTGTGAAGAATAAATGCAATTCATTTGAATTCAGTGTCAACGGAAGCGACTTTTGTTATCAACTGTAGCTCGAACAAACACATCGTTAGTCGAAATACGATTTCAGTCCAATTGTTAACTGGTAACTGTCTGATTTCGGCTTAATCCTTCAAGTGCCTCAGTAATGGGGTGGGTAATACGCTAGCTCCCGAAAAAGATAGCCACAGGTTAGAATCGGGCCTGGGTATGAGTTTTGCAAATTTCTCAACATCATTGTGCTTATTTCTCATATAATACGCTGCCATGAGAAAATAATATGCAGTGATTAAGTGTAATTTCGACCACAGCCTCAGCATAACTGGGCGCAATGCCGATTTGAGCTCCTAAATCATTCCTGCTGACGGGTGATTGCTGATGACACGTTAGCGTAAAAAACTGACTGAGAGAAAGGTAGAGGAAGGGAGTTAATGGTGCAGTGCGTAACAAATGAGCTTCCGGGAAAGGTAATCGCAGGTTCGAATCAAGCATGGGATCTGAGTTTTGCCAATAACTCAGCACCATTCTGGTTAAATTAACAAAGTTCGCTATGAGCTGATGTATGGCTGCTTAAAGTTGGAAGGCCAGATCATCTCCAATTTCGAATGAGTTGTGCATGACTCACATGGTGATGAATGTTTGACATCTTTCAGTCTTGTTGAGAATTTGTAGAACAGAAAAGAAACTGATTGTGCAGCTTGTTTTCAACTTTTCTTGACTTTTCTTCTTTTCTATTTAGACAGAAACGCCAGCAATATCACTCCTAGAAGATCCTGTGAACACGACACTGCTGGAAGTAAAGCTAAAGGACAGCGATCTCGTCACAATTTGGGTGGAGGACGGCATTATAAATGAATTGCTCGAGCAGGTCAGTATGTTTTGCGAAAGGGTTAGATGACGAAGCTGACGGTAAATTAACCAACTAAAAAAGTGCTGGGATATTCAATTGAAGAGCAGAGAAAAAATTTGAAAGAAGCAGGTGCTTTGATGCGACCATCCAGTACTTCGCAAGAATCTTTTTGCATTTATCATTTATTTTAAAACTCCCAACAGTTCACCGCCTTATCGTGGCTAGATGGTGTTCCTGGGTGTCGGGCTACGGTGTATAGCGGGAAGATTCATCCTCCCGGCAGGGTCTCTCAAGCTGAAAAGGAGTCCGGTATTTCCATCAGGAAACCTAGCTGAGAGTAAACCAATACCAGGATCCACCAGCGTCCTGGTACCAAACCAGTTGCATGGTGGCAAATCTCCTTCTGATCCACAAGGGCTGCGACTGCCTGTCGTGGTGACGACCTGGGGTAGACTTTGGCCAGGCTGTCCTCGGGATTCCAGGAAACCATAATGGCTTAACTAGCAAGTCTTTGAAAAATGGTGTTTATGCTGGGGCCTGCACAACTAGTGAGGACGGGCCACTCAAGTATCAAGTATTTATTTTAAAACTAAATGTGCAAACAGTGCTATGTTAGAGTATTTCGTGAGGCTAAGATTTCGCTGAGAGATAGTAAACTCGCGTACTTGCTTAAGCAATGCTCGTTTTTCAGTTTGATTGGAATTTTGAGTGGATGGATGAACAGTTACCAGTTACGAGCACAGTCATTCCCTCGGACTCGAGGTAACTCATGGTACCGATGAGCGATGAAATACCGTAAAGTATCAATTAGAATGAGTCTCCTCTTAATACATGCTTATTATTGCTTACTTTGAATTCAAAGGTTCTCACGAAGGATACAAATAAATTGCTATTGAATTCTTGACTACTCCAGTGTGCACTGAATTGCGAAATATCTATGCCTATCTAAATACTTAGCGATTTTCAGGAAGCTGTTTGATAATATGAATTGGTCAATTATTCTAAGAAAAATAATTTATGAATTCAAACTAACATTGCTTTTCCTTTCAGGTACCAGAGTCATCGGAATTTTAGCGCTCGTTCTTATTGTTTTAGGCATTTCCTCACCACCCTCTGTACTGAGTGCTACTTTCAAGTGAATGTGGGCGCACGTGGACGTCCGTCGTTGACTGCTACCAACTCTTCGCTTGTCCTCGAAAATTAAGTATTTTTCTTCTGTATGTTCTATTGAGAACGAGTACAGCACATTGCTTAAAGAGGACCATTTACACGTAGTTACTGGTTCGATCTCGCATCCCAGCCTCAACAAGCCTTCGATTGCACTGGGGTCGACTAGCATTTACTAGAGTTACCTAGGACGATAGCAGCATTGAACCAACACATCGATAGGCCACCAAGAGTGTAGTATAAGTCAGATATACATTCAATCACCTAAAACGATGCTTGATGAGATGGCATGCATGGAGGATCTCTTAGGGTGTTGAGAAACGCCGAAAGCTGGATCTACCAATACTCTATCTATCCTCAATTATCTTCAATTAGTTAGTTAAGCTATGGATCACCTACTGAGACTTTAGAAAAACTTTTTGGAATAAATCTCTTCAAACAACCACGCTACCAATTAGTTTGTGAGCTGCTATGTCCTCTTTGCTTGCTTGCCTTATTTTATTGTCTGATCAGTAAAATAGTGACAATATGGCATTACGGCATCGTCCAGAGCCTGCAATTAAAAATAAGTACTACAAGTCAATTTCAATTTATATCCAGTTCAACAGTGATTTATGTACAGCATTGTCGAATGATGTGACGAATTGCAGGCGGAACCGGGTCTATTTGAGAGTGGTGAACCCAAATCGCAATCTTACCTCGGTGTTCGTTTCATTCGTCCTCACCATCGAGGCCGAGTTACGCCCAGCCTTCGATGGAGGTATTTTAAGGTAATAAACTATTAGGTGTCGTTCGAGAAAAATGGCAAAAAACCTCTAAACGGTGAATTTTTCAAGGACCTTCAGGCTCTTAGCTACATATGTTATGAATTTGTATATAATGTGATAAAATATAAAAGCTCAAAAACAAGAGAACCGCTGAAAATAAGTGTGTAATGTGCTACCAAGAGATGCCCAATGTTACTATTGCGGTATGAAAGATTTGATTTCCCATGTCTGATGTTTACCTACCTTTTCTTGAAGGATGATGCAGCACATACATCTTAATGAGAAACACCTCCCACTTGTTCAAGAGTCAGTCTCTGTATTGTACTTAACCCTATTTTTTAAAGCGATTTTGTGCTCCGAGAATTTTTGGGATAGAGTTTTTCGATTTTCACACGAGATGGTGAACTTTGTCATTGTTTCTCAACATTTTGAGCACTTCATCATTTTCAGAGCCACGAGGGCTCGAAATGTCACCTTTGAAGAAAGCTCACCTCGATGAGCGGGCCATGAACCGGGCATTCCAATTTGAAAACAGAAACCATATTTTGCATTTATAAAGAATGTTTTGATGAAAAAACTTGCAGAACGCTTGTTCAGCTACTAGACACCAGTATCGAGATGGAAGCGGGCGCATTCCCGAAAACATGGGGCATTTTTATGCAAGATTTAATAAGAGGTGAGTTGAAGTTCATGTCGCTAAATAAACCACAGTGCAGACAACGGAAATTGAGAGCTTCTGCTCTTAGCTGCACACTGGATTTCTTGCTTAAAGAAAGAGCGAGTTCTACACGCAATATTTAGAGGTGCCAGATAGTGGCAACATGCCCATGTCCCCATTTGAAGCTTTCATCTACCTGCGATGGGCTACTTTTTAGCAGATTCGACTGCAAAGATAAAAACGCTGACCCTTTTAGACTATTTAGCTTGCACGAAGTTGTTATGAAATTTCTATTCCGGTAACGCTGCTATGCCTTCGTCTTCTTCAGATCCGCAATGATCCGTGTCGATTGTCCACAGCTGTGCATTGTCGAGCATGGAATTGCTAAACTAAGCTATACCATCTAAAAAGATATTCGTTCTTCATGTCGAGGTTAAATGACAGTGGGTTTTGAAACATACTGATCGAGGTTCATTGAAGTCATTGTATAAACCAGATATGCGCTTAATCACCTCTGCGTTGCTTATTGTAGTCGAATCCATAGTGCATCCCTCATGGATTAATCAACGCCAAATCCTTTATCCTTAACACTATATGGCTTGAAGAGAGCAGTCGGAGAGCAATGTGGTCGAATCTTCGTATATTTATGCAATTCATAATTTACGGCTGCAGTGTGACATTATTATGAACGGTGAAACGAATGAAAGCAAATTAAACTATCATTAATTGCAGGCATGATCATGGATATGTTATGGCCAGAGATAAAGAATGCAATCGAGGAGTTGAGTTATGGAAAAGGAGTCGCAATTTCGCAAGCGTGTGGAGTCGATCCCAACAACGTCAGCCTCGACATAGGTTTCCCCTTACCAGTTTCTTTCTTTTTTGGCTTATCTTACGAAAATGATGTTCATGAGAAGCGGATTTATTTCTGATGCTTCATTGCGCCATTTCACCCTCAGTGGAATGAATATATTCGAGCACTCCAAGGCATACATCTCTGAGTCGCGAACTTAACATGATGAACGACTCAGCTCCATAGTTGACCAAGAATTATTATGTGAAATACAACCACAATGATGCTGAGGTATTTGCAGAACCCAGACCTCAAGCAGATTTGCACCAACGTTTACTTTTTCTCAGGGCTCACGAGTTACTCACAGCACTATCGAGATTACTGCTTTGCCTGCCTCTCAACCAATCTTTTTTTAGTCTTCGCTTTATTTCTTTTCTTATTACGTTCTCGCCGACTCCTCATTTTGTATGGCTAGCAGGTGGGACAACGCCTTATTTGTTGCTTTTGAGGGCCAACTGGTTTTCGAAAGCAGATATTCTCTCGATAACCGGAAGGCTTGAGATAGTGAGAACACGACGACATTATAAAACAGACTTTGCTTTATCGCCTTATGGGTATGAATGTCTGATGCTATTAACTACACGTTACAGTCTCTGTGCAATACAACAGCTTTGCTGTTAAAATTTGGATCTGCTGTGCAGCCTACTTCGAGTCCATTTCTGTATTCTTTATGCTCGCCTATTCCATATGATAAATATGATTGTGGCGATTAGTGTGGTTCTCATGACCGACTTTCTGTTAAACTCGGCAATTCTCAAGTAGTTCTTTATATTCTTGCTGGACAAATCCTATGTGTTACTTTACTCTTTATTTACAAACGTTAACGTTTCGGCGAATTTCGCCTTCCACAGAAACTGTAAGGGTCTAGTTGACTGCAATCTACCCAGCCAAACACCTCCCTAACCAAACAGAGAAAATGCTAAACGAAAATTTCAGTCACATTGAAAACAAAGCATGCCCTTCGTTTCAAACGAAATAAGTGCAGCTAAAAAACATTGTTTAAGAAAGACAGGTCTAGAGAACTCGGCAACAGTAATTGAAATACCACCGAGCACTCTAAGACGCCAACTAGTGTTTGTATGATGGTCTGTGTACAATTGAAAATTGTCTAATATGCCCTAAAGGTATGGACGGTTTTTCTTGAGTTTGAGCACGGTGCATCTAATCTCTTGCAAAGCAAACACGGACAAATACAATGACGAAACAGGTAGACCAGTGTGTGTCCGTATAAAAGAACACCTTAACGCTAAGGATAGAACTAAACAAAATCCTGATCTAGGCGTACATAGGACATGGAGACGTAATGGGGAAGATTTTGAAGTAGAAATTACAATCTTCGCACACAGAAATCGAAAGGGCAAGTGCGCCAAACTCTCGAAGAATTCTGAGCAAATTCCAGGAATCCGAATATAAACTGCAAGGAGGAATTCCGGTTGGGTTCCACGTGAAATATTCAGTGGAAGACTCATAGAAAGCGATGATGAGTGTGCAAAGAAGCTAACTCGTGCTCAATATGGTTGGAATCTTGGTTTAGCATTTTCTCTGTTTGATTATGGAGGCGAATTTGCCGAAACATCAGCCGTTTGTAAATAAAGAATAAAGTAACACCTCGTGTTTGCTCAAGGGCTATATGGGGAAATACTTGGTCATTGCCAAGGTAACAGAACGGTTGTGAGAATTACTCTAATCGCCATAAACAGTCATGCTTATCGTATATAATAGGCGGGCATGAAGCATTTAGAAATAGACTCAAAGTAGGTTGCAAAGCGCTTCCAAATTCTGACGGCACAGTCGTTGTATTGCAGACGGTATTGTAACGCATAGTGAATAGTACCACACATTCATACCCATAAGCCGATAGAGCAAAGTCTGTTTTATAATGCTGTCGTGTTCTCACTGACTCAAGCCTTTCAGCTACCGAGAGATTATCTTCTAGTATCGAAAACCAGTTGGTCTACAAAAGCAACAAATAAGACGTCGTCCCACCTGCCAGCCGCACAAAATGAGGCGTTTACGAAAACGTATTAAGGAAAGAAATAAAGCAAAGATCAAAAGAAGATTGGTTGAGAAACAGGTAAAGCAAGGGACTGAGGGGTGAACTGGGTAACACGTGAACCCACGCGAAGCGTAATCGCCGGTTCAATTCTGCCTGGGGTCTGAGTTCTGCAAATACCTCAGCATCATTGTGGTTGTATTTCACATAATTTGCTGCTATGAGCAAATAATAAGCAGTGAGTAAAAAATGTCGATTTGATCTCCCTAGATCATTCCCGTTGACGAGTGATTGTTGGCACCAGCGTTAGAGTAAAAAAACTGCCTAAGAGAAAAGCAAGGCGAAGCTTCGGTGATGCAGTGGATGGCACGTGTGCCCACGGAAAGAGGGATCGCGGGTTCTAATCTGGACAGGGATCTGAGTGTTGTAAATATCTCAGCATCCTTATGGTTAAAACAATATTGCTAACCTCATTAATGAGCGGCATAGAGTAAAATTCACGGTTTGGAAATTTCAGGAGAAGGAAATTTCGCGCTCACTACACGGTTAGCACTTCAGTATCTGGACTTGGACAAGTGTTTGACGGACTTGAAGACCTCGTTGCCAAGCACGTCAAAAATATTTCAAAAAATAGAACAATAGTACTATTCGAATATAATAAATGTACAAATTTATAAGAAAATGTAGGCACGCAGACTCACCGAGTAATTCAGTAACACTGAAAGCAAGTTATTTGTACGGCACTCCGTTGTCGATAATGGGATTATTTGAACAATCAAATCTCTAGCCTGCTCACCAGTTTCCAATGAAGACACGATTTAGAATCAAGTAAACTTAGTGCTCTAGCTATTTAAAAACGAGAAGGAGACAGCAGAGCCTCAGTTTAGAGACCACTTAGCTGCACCAATGTAAATTCGAAATCTTTATCCCACGCAATCAACTCGCACTTGTGCAACTGTTGTTGTCGTTTTGCAACAAGAAAACCACATCGAAGCTTTTAAAGCAGGAGTTACTAAAGTGACCATTGAGAGATACATATCGATCGAAGGCATTTTCTGAGAGTCCTTCTAACTATCGTACTACTTGGACTCGTACTTGGGATCAGCAGCATTTGATAGTCGCCAATCGGAGAAGCGTTTGCCATCTTAGGCTAAACCTTCAACTATAAGTGCACAGGTTCATGGTGAACTTCAATGATTAAAGCGAAAGCCATAAGAATCAACATGTCTTCATCGGAAAAAGAAGATACCTGTTTATTCCATTATAATGAGAACGTAGGTTTGTAGAGCCTATCACTCTACTGAATGTATTTCCACAAATGGCGCGGTTGCTGAAAATTATCAAGCAGCTGAAATCTTCGTACAAAGTGGCATTTAGTCACATGCGGTGCAATTAGTATTTTAGGTTGAAAAAAATGAGGGCGCGTGTGGCGCAGTGGTTGGAGGCGCCACTTCGACGCGCATGTGGGATCGATTTCCGCACCCATCGCCCACCAAGCCTTCGATCCCTCCAGGGTCGTCACATTGGTATCAGACATGTCTTGGAGGATAGCAGCACTGGCTCGATACATCGGTAGGCCACCGCGAGTCATTGTAAAGGCCAGATATGCATTCAATCACCTCCAACGATACTTAATGAAGTCGAATGCATGGCGTTTCCCTCAGGGATTGATCAACGCAGAGAGTGCTATCCTTTAACCTTTATAAAACCTAGCATTTGTTCTCCATTAACAATTTGAGTACTTTCCGACTAGTTAGTGCGCTTAACTAGCAAAGATTGGTTAGCTTTTGCATGTCTTGTCAATTTCCTGACAATTGCTAGTCAAGTGGATTCCAGGTGAGCTGGTCTCAGACAAGTTCGGTGACAATTCTCCGACCCTGAAGTGATGAACCGGTTGGTAGGCCCTTTGCAAATTCCAGCCAATTCCTTGTTCATAATAGACAGCATCAGTACCAGTGTGCAACAAGCCCCTTTTTCAAAATGCAGAGGCATTATCTCTCCACTTTAACACATACATGATTGCTATTTTAAAAGTATTTGAATTTCTACTGCACCTCAAGTAGGAAAAGTGTAGAGAAGCACAACAAAACACTGTCGCAGACCGAAGTTCTCCATTCGAAAGGTGGTCCCGCCACTGGATCCGACTCGATGCGACAACGAACACTCACATCGCGACAGCAACCACCTGTGTACCATCTATTAGGATCAGTATGGCGCTGAGGAAAGTGAAGGCGCAGAAACATTAGCCGCAGAAAACTTTTGTAATAACCTTGTATTAGCTCAGCCATGTCATAGGCTAATGATTATTGTTCCCGAGGTTTAATTAAAGTCAGTTTTAAGATATTTCCACGCTATGGGCCAGCAAATAAAGTACCGACTACAGGACGCATTGCCCTCCAAACTGGAGATCGCACTGGATGGCGGGAATCCTGTATGTAAAGGGCATCTTCGAGTGAAGTTCCTCACTCGAGCGGTGTTCCCGCTCCACTGGATTCGACTTGACGCGACAACAAACACCCACATCGTGATAACGACCAGCCGTGGGCCATCCCGAAGCGTTAATTGAATAAAACATTTATACTAACCACGTGCTAGCTCAGTCACGTAAAAAGTTATTGTCTCAGTACGATTTCCACCACAATAATCATAAAATACTAATAAGTGCAAATATGTCTTCTCTGTTAACATTTTCTTACAGACCAAGTTGTACTTTGTGAAACAACCCAATTATACTGAGATGTTTGCAAAACTCCGGGCTGTAGGTGTTTGCGGTGGAGAACGAACGCGCTATTGTCATTTCCTGTGAGTAGCGCGTTCACCGCCACACCGCGCGGGTCCTTCGTTTCGCCTGTCTCTCAGCTAGTTCTATCGATCACTGCCAACAGCAATCACCTGTCAACGGGATTGATCTGGGGAGCCCAAATCGATATTGAACCCAATCAAGTTGAGGCTACCGTTTAAATTCACAATATTGACTTTTTACTTACTGCCTTTTAGAAGTTTTCACGGCAGGGATCGGAAAGAGTAATAGCGCGTTCGTTCTCCACCGCAATACGCCTGCAGTCCGGAGTTTTGCAAATATCTCAGCATCATTGTGGTTGTCTCACAAATAATATCCTGCCGTGAAAACTTGTAAATCGCAGTGAATAGAAAGTCAATAAGTTGTGGTTTGTTTTTTAAATTTACATATAAACATCACGCCCGACGCCTAATGTAGTTTCTTCTCAGCAAATCGTCGATAAGAAAAATGAATGTTACGAGGTGGAAGCAATTACATTCATGTCAACGATGAAAGAGATAATTAATTCATGGTTTAGAAACCAAATACAAAATTCTTTTGTATCAACGGCATCACTTACGTAGCCTCTAGTCGATAGACTGACTCCTACCGCCGTTATAAAGTCTTCATTTCTCTATTTATGTGATCTTATAAAGTGATCTTCTTAAGCTGACGCGAGGTTGGTACAGATCTTCGTTGTCGTTGTCGTTGTTCGTCAGCCATCGATCAATAACATCAAAAACAACGACAACGACAACGAAGATCTGTACCAACCTCGCGTCAGCTTAAGAAGATCACTTTATAAGACCACATAAATAAATATGTCAACTATCTATGCCGAGATTTATAGAAAGTCGGTCTTTCGAGTTATTAAGAGATGTTCTTCATTTCTCCCTGACATGCCAGGGCCCAGTGCAGACTGCTCAAGCAATACAAGTGCGATTGTTTTCTAAACAGGGTCCTCATGAGGAATGCTGACCGACTGTTTGACAATTTTCCCGTTGTGCATTTGTGCGAGCGGCCAGTCTGGTTTTCGACATCTTGATTTATCCCGCAGCACCTTTGACCTTCTCTTGTCGCCGATGGTTATAAGTTTAGAAGACTTCAGATTCTCCCCATTTGTGTGAAAGGATTCTACAGGAGACCCAAGAATGCCAGTAGTGAAAACGAAAGGTCCTATAACGGTTTAACACAACAAACTTAACAAAACTGAATTTGGGGTAAAACAGTCTCCAATAAGTCAAGGAGGCGGCTAGTGCAGTGGTGGTAGTACCGTTCATCACGAGCGCGGTGCTGGTTCGACTCGGTACCGGCTTCACTAACGTCGTATCTTAACGGGAACTTGTTACTAGACTTTTCTATGGACAGCGCACTTCCTGCAACATTCTTGAACCTGGGGTCTAGGAAAAATCAGCTCCACCGGCTGTCAATGACATTCGTAAGGAACACGACGATCATCAAGAAGCTGCCCAACTCGCACGCGAAAAGTTCGCAAACCTTGTTGAATGGCGGATTAGAGGAAATGAATTGAGTGCAAAAAGTGCTGGGATTTTCACAGGAGATGTAATTAAGAGACATTTAAAAATAACAGTAATTTAGAGAGAATATTTGGTATTACGGATCAGCAAGCGACACCGAATACAAGCGAAGTTGTATGGCACAATGTTATTTGATCATGATTATAAGGGAAAAATGGTCGTGGAAAGTTTACGGTAAAATTTGTCGCACAACTGGAGTTCATCACGTCATTCACCTACACAAGAACAGACGAAAACCATAACTCACAAGTTAGTTTTAACGATAGCATTACGAGAACTTGAATCTTCTTATTATTATACGTAAGTCGAATCTCTCAGGGTCTCCCTAGCCGAGGAGTCCGAGTGAAGCAATCCCAGGGCCCACCACCGTCCTAATATCAGATTCGCATAGTGGCAAATCTCCCTCTGATCCAAAACGGCTGCGACTGCCTGTGGTGGTGAAGACTTGTGAAAACTTTGGCCAGACTGACTTCGGGACTCCAGAGAACCAAGATTGCTTAACCACCAACTCTCCGAAAAATGGTGATAATGCTGGGGCCAGCATAAACACTGAGGACGGGCCGTTCAAGCAGCAAGTGTCAAGTAAGTCGAATCTCTAGCTGAATTTGGAAAAAAAATAGGCCTAGCTAGAAGTCTCTTGCCCACATCCATTAACACTGTTCTGAACTTTAAAATGAAGCAAGTATTTTCAAAATACAGCCACAAGAATGCCGATATATGACCAGAACTCGAATCTTTACGTGGGTTTCAAACCCACGATCGCCATTACTGGGCGCTCATGTGCTATCTACAGCATTCCTTCCTTTCCCTTTTTCTGAGCCATGTTTTAACTCAAATGATATTATTTACTCGCTAACGGGATTGATCCAGGAAGTACAAATCATAACTGAACCCAACGAAACTGAAGCTGCATTCAAAATTACAATGTTTTAACTCGTGTTTAGTTGCTGACAGAAGCGATAAAGCAAAAACATAGCTGAGGAAAAGGCAAAGCAAGGACCTCAGTTGGTGTGGTAAAGAGCATGTGAGCCTCCAGTAAGGAAGCTCAGGGTTTCAAAGACTATCTAAGGCATCACGTTCCACTCATAATCGAGTATCTTTGCGGTTATATTTCACATCGTGCCCTACTATGAAAAAGAACACTTGTAAAGTTGGATAGCCGGCCTTCATTGGTTGTGCGGCCCCTTGCACAGTCTTCGTCCGACGTTGCGGTCTGCCTCGAACATGGTGAAACCCACGAAGTATAATCCGTTGTCATGAAATCGTTTCCATCTACGGATTTAGATGGCTGATGTCAACGACGAATACGTCCGCCCATCATCCGG